GGTAGATTTGTATTTTCATCCCTAATCCATTCTTTAAGAAGTGTTTTCACTTTATCCTTAGAACTAAGAATGGTGGAAAGTCAATATCATTATCTTATCTTTTTCTTTGGTTGTCTCTTCTATGGCACATATTAGGCCGAGAAGGTCTCTTTTTTTCTCTTGTTTCATTTTAAATCGTATTCACTGTAAAAGTATTCTTTCTAGTGAAATGATTGATTCCTCATTACCTAAGAACTATATTGTTGGTTCTTCTTATAGCTTCAACCAAAAGTAGTAAAAGTTGGAAGAGACAAATTCTCCAAGTGCACCTTATACTTATCAAATATTCTTTGGATACATACTTTTACTAGCTCCTTCTCATCATGAGAATCTTGAATATCTAACACTCTTTTCCTAAAATGTTGGATGTATTCCATAAGATCTTTTCATGACTTCTGATGTTTTATTCCTAAGTCAATCAAAGTAACATTTTCTTGGGTAGAAAAATTTTTTTTCCAAACATTCTGCACATTTGACTCTATGATTTAACAAAGCCAATTGTAAGATCGACATACCATGTGTACACTTTTTCCATAAAAGACTTAGAGAATCCCTTTAACTTTAAATCATCATCTAATCTAACTCCTCCAAAAGTTTTCACAAACTTTATTACATGCTCACAAGCATCTCCAATCTTGCTATTGAATTGGTTAAACTTAGGACTAGAATAGTCCTTAGGATACGATTTAGCAGCCATTCTAGCAAAATAAGGTAGTTTAAGATCAAATTCAAAAAAGTTCAAGCTCTTGTTCTTTTTCTCAAGCAAATTTTGAAGTTCTTCTTTCGTGGCAAAACCTTGAGTTGTAGTTTGAGGAAAAGCCACAGTGAAAGTACCAACAACTAAGGTGTTGTTCTTACCAAAATTTTCATTAACACCAAGATTTGGCACATTTGTAATGTTTTCTTTATTGCCATTTAGGATAGCTTAATTAGAAGTGTTTTCATTCCCATCAGTAGTAGTTTAGGCTTGAAAGGTTATGGCATTAGAAGATGTGAGTTGGGAGATAGTCTCTTTTAACTTTTGCATCATTTCTTGGAAATTTTAAATTATCTTTATCAGTTCTTGGATATAAGCAGGGGTCTGAGCATTTTGGTTTTTAGTGGAATCCTCCATTTTTTTGGCAAAGCAAGATTAAAAATTGTTTTGCTTAATACAATCACTCCTTTTTAGTAGTGTCGTCAAAATGTAAACAGATTCTTTGTTGAAGTGAGAAAATGTTGTAAATAAGAAAAACATGATGTATTGAAATATGGCAAAAAGAAAGATTGAAGCAAACCTTAAAGTATTGATTACAGTGACAGGTGCTAGTAGATGTGAAGGTTAAGTAGAGAATATAATAAGACTCAAAGAAGGATTTAAGAAGAAAAGATTATAAAAAAAGTTTGAGAGAAAATGATGAGAGATCTATCAAAGTCCAAAAGTCTCTCATAAATTATGAAAACTTTTATTTATAGGTTTCGAGAATATGAGCTACATATCTTTAGTATTGAATAGAAAAATATTGAATGCAGTGGTAAATGATGAAGTAAGGCTAAATTAAGAAGAGAATAAGGCTCAAAGAAGGATTTATGAAGGGAGGATTATAAAAAGGGTTTGAGAGAAAGTGGTGAAAAATCTGCCAAAGTCCAAAATCCCTCATGAATTATGAAAACTCTCATTTATAGGTTTCAAGAATAGGAGTTACATATCTTAAGTATTGAATAAGAATAATGGTGAGTAATGGGAGACTTAGCTGTTACACGAGGTATAAATGTATTGTTTAATAAGAGTTTAATTAGCTTCTTGGTAATAGATATAGTGAATATAGAAGTTCATTATCCGTTCTAAAAGAAAAGGAAAAGCACTAATATTTCAGGGAAAGATTAAGAGAAAACCTCTTAACCATCTCTATATCTGATCTACTAAGCCAAGCTCTACGGAACATTCCAATAGTGAAATCAACCTAAAAATCTTACTATATTTCGATGTTATTTTCACTTTTTCTTTAGTTAAAGTAACATTTGATGAAATATCTTTTGTGAAATAACTCTAAGTGAAGCAATTTGTGTTTCAAGAGTTTTTTGGTAAAGGTGTTGGTCTTGTTCCTTGAAAAAGTTGTTCCAAGAATAGTTATTTCGTGACATATTGTTCTACAAAGGAGTTGTTCCTTGAATAGTTGTTTCATACAAAGCAATTCTATAAAAAAAAAAAAATTGTTCCATGACTAGCTATTTCGTAAAATAACTTTTACTAAAATAGTCTTATCACTTATTTCATAAAATAATTCACTGAAACAATCTTTTACCTGCTTTGATTTATCCTTAATTTTAATAATTTTAAAAAAATTTAAAAGAATAAAGTATGAGTAATCAAAATCAAATATCTACACTCATAAAATAAATTTAAATTTAACCACGGATTTATCTAGAATTAAAAGTTCATAAAAATGCTATTGAAAAAGTCAACAACATTAAGAAATTTACCATATAATCTAAATCTTTTAGCATCGTATTCATCCAGATATTCAATAAACCAAAAAATAAAGTCACAAAAGGAAAACCTAGAGGCATTTTTTTTTTAAATACAATCATAAACAACAAATTTAAAATTTTGACTCGAGAAAGGAAGAGAAATATGATACAAAGTTATGCTTATCTTCGAAGTACTCAAGCTACGGCTAAAGCTTGGAGGTATTAGCACACTTAGCTTTGAAAATAGGTTTAAACTTATTCTTCTGATTCTCTTGCGAAGAAGACGAATAAGCTTTTACCTTCTTCATTTGTTTTTTAGAGGCAATTTTCTTCTTCGGTTCCTTTTGATTATTACCATTATTATAAAAAGAAAAAAAAAACCCAAAGCAATGGCAAAGTAGGTTTTAAAGACAAAAATGATAATCGTTAGAACTGGATGAAATTTGATTTGATTTAATTTTTTAAATAATAAATAAAATTATAAATTTTTAAAATTTGATCTAAATTTAAATTGAATTTTTATATGATCTCATTTAAATCTAATTTTATTTATTTAATTCAATTTATGGATTTTTTAAATTTAAATTTTTAATTTTTATATATTATTTTAATATATTTAAATAAATTTAAATATAAAATAATCAGTTTTATTTTATAAAAATTTAAAATATATATTAAAATATATAATTCCATTAAATTTATTTTTTATTTAAATTTAATATATATTTAATACTTAAATTTAATCTGAATAAAATAAAAAAATTTAATTCAAACTAATTCAAATTTACTTTTTAAACCTATAAAAGACAGAGAAAAGAGACCAGGGGTGAGTGTTACTTTGGTTGATGGCGGTAGATCCGGATTCAAAATCTATAGCGAGAGAGATAAAAGTGCAAAGAAACATATTAGACAAAACTACATTTATACATGGGCGAGGGATGCTCTTTGGGTTTTTTTGCGCGTCATTCCAACGCCGCGGTTGCCAACCCTTCAGGGGTTTTTTTTTTTTTTTAATTTTTATTACTTCATTTCTAAATTAAAATATATTGTAGATTTTTTATTTAAAAATATACTATAAATTTCAGCAAAAATTTACATTAAAATTACAATAACTCATAAAAAAATTATTGACACCAAAAATCAAACTTAAACATTATAAATAAAATATTTAATATTTATCAACTCAATCGATTCTATTTTACCATTTCTCTCTTTTTTAAGGAAAACCACTTCTATTTACTATTTCTCTCTATTAATGGAAGGCGCAAGACGTTAAAATTGAAGGTATTACTATTTTCCTCCCATTATATTAATTCATCATTGATTTTTACGAAATTTAAAAAAATATTTTGATTTTAATTTTTATAATATTAAATTTTTTTTTATAAATTTGAAGTTTCATAATTTTTAATAATAAAAAAATTACAAAAAATAAATTTAAAATATAGAAAAATAAAACATTTTAAGTGTTAAAAAAATATATTTTTGAAACATCCAAAAATAATTAAACAAATAAAATGGGACGAAAAGAGTAATAAGTAAAAATCTGGAGCCTAACTTTTTTCTTTTGATCATTTGTTTTGGTATGATGTCTGACCTTTTGGCAAGTTATATTTTCTTTGTCCCACTTGATAAATAGTTATTGGATTTTGGTTGGTTGGGATTCAACCATCCATTTAATTTGGTTATATAAAATCAATTTTAAAACTTGTACATTTCAAATTTTTTAAAAAAAATGTTTTTTATTAATAAAAAAAAATTGTTCTCTCATACTAAGAAAAGGAAAATCGTTAAAAATTTATAATACAATATAGTAGTAATATAAGACAATGAAACATAAAAAAATACTTATGCAAAGTTATATAAGTAAAGTTTATAAAATTTTTTATTAGAAATAAATAAATTAAAATTAAAATTAAAAATCAAAATTAATATATTAAAATTTTTCATTATATAGATTAAACGTGTAAAATTAAAAAAAATTTTAAATTTTTTATATATTTATTATATAAATATTTTTAATAAAAAATATTAATAAAATTTTTATCATTTAATAAATGTCAATTAAATTTAAATTATAAATAATATTTTAATAATTTTTTTACATATTATTAATTTTTACATTAAATTATATTAATCTATCTATTTAAATTTTTTATTTATTTATTTTTTATAAAAATTTTACAAACTTCCCCCATCGAACTTCGTATAGGTTTTATATATTGAACTTGATTTAAGTTTAGTTCGTGAAACGTATCCCCAGGTTCACACGCTCACCTAGAGGAAACCCTCTAGAGTCTAGACTGATGCCATTCTATTGTTTGTTTCATTTGATTATACCCACAATATAGGGCGTAAGTATCCACCTAAAATTGACAGCCACATGCAATTGAAAAGCACTGACAAGGAAAAATCATAAATCCTTGAATATCTTGGTTTTTATTTGCCAGCCAGGCAAGTGGAAGCCAAGAGGACAACGGTTTTTAAGGACTGATGGAGAACAATTCATGCCAAAATTTGGGAACAAATGCCATAGCTCATCAAGAAAAATACAATGTCAATGACAGCCAACGAAGCCTAAGCAACCACAGGAGGTGCAGCAACAACTTGACCTGATTTCATGGAACAAAAAAGATTCAAAACATCGGCATTGTTACGAACGTAACCTGGGCATTTCGACAATAAATCTTGTGCTTCATTTTGCCTTGCAGCTTTTAAAAAGGCTTCAAAAACACGGAGAACCACTGATAGAGATGGAAACCTTTTTGATGTCATAGACTTGAGGAAAGCAAATGCATCGTCACTACTTCCAGACTTTGATACATACTCAATGAATGAATCCACAAAGGGTGGGAAACCATGATCTTTCATCAAACCTAAGAGATTCAAAGCATCTTTAAATCCACCCTGAGCCAATAACTTCCTTATCAATTCCTTGTAGGTAGTGGGCCACGGCCTTAACTGGCTCTCACTAACGTACTTGTGTAGAAGCTTGCATGCATCCGTTGCTCTTTTCCTACTGCAATATGAATATACCAACCATTCAAAGGCATAACCAGCATGAGAGACCCCTTCTTTTTCAACCATATTTTTGAAATAAGCTGATGCTGTTTCAAGATCCCCAGCAGCACAACACCCTTCTATTAAAGAGTCCCATGCCTTGTGATCCAAGTTGGTATTGATAGCTTCAACAAGATCTATAAACTCAGCAGTTTCGTCTTTTTTACCGGCGCTAGCAAGTCTAAAAGTAATTTTACTCTGCAAGTTAACACCAGCTACAAACCCACCCTCCTCCATTACTTTTAGAACCTTGTTGCATTCTCCAAGTCTACCAACACTTGCCAAAGATCTGAGAACTGCATCAACCATAGAATCTGTCAAGACATTCCCACTCTCCATAAAAATCCTCACAACTCTTGAAAACAGACCCATGTCTAATTGTTTACTCACTGCTAATTTCCTCAGCAGGAAGGTACAACAACTCACAGAAGGCTTATTGGAACCAGCCATTGCAAACTCATACAAGTCTACAGCTTCCTTAATCATCTTCCTCTTACAAAAGCGCCCCAAAACCTTCACATATGTCTCCATTTCCATTTCATACCCTAAACTTTTCATTTCATCAACAATCTTCCAAAACCTATCAATGCAATCTTCCCTCCCCAAAGCCCTCGCCATAGCATTATAACTGCGCTCATCATGCTTCACCAAACCACACTCTTCAGTCCACCGGAAAAATATCAACACTTTTGCTGGCTCTGAAGCAAGATTTTCCAATATCAATTTCACCAAATCATTAGAAAAGGTAACATTCAAATCAAGCAATCTCTTCTCAACATCATCACCCCATAACTCGCTCCTAATAATCTTACAAATCCTAGAAAAAGCCTTTTCCATTGAATTATCCACCGATCCTGTAGCAAAAACCCCTCTCAGTCTCTCCAAATCGCTCTCCAACCCTTCTTTCTCAAACTTCACTGCAATTCTGTCACGCACGCCACCAGAAATACCATACCCCTTCTTCTTCATAACATCAACCAAACCCCAAAACTCCTCAACCAACCCATTAACACCCAAAATACCTAGCATCCGATTATACGACTTGGAGCTCAATCTCTCCGCATCAGTCTCGAAAACCCAATCAAAAAACCTCCTTGCCACATCAGGACTAGACTCAACACTCCTCAGCACTTTCAAAACCATTTCATGGCTAAAAACAATATCATTTAACTCCAATTCTCTCTTTATATCATTCCTATCACCAAGTCTAGTAAAAATATCAGTCACAGTTACCAAAACATGATCTGGCTCTTTCTGTTCAACAGCCGCCGCCGATGAGAAACTACAATGATTGATGGGAGTATTTTTGGAATTTAACATGGATAATTCTTTCATCATGTTGAAGGGGTTTGCGAGTTGCGAGTGTGAATAAATGTTGTGGAACGAGTGAGTATGAGGGGGAGGAACGGAAGGAGGGAGTACCTGGGACATGGTGGGTACTCGAAGAGGAGATCGAGGGTGGTTTCGGAAGAGAAGAAATCTCCATGGATGTCTCATCCTCAGCTTCTTCTTTGCGTTTCTGTCCTCTTTCCGATTCTGTCGTAGGGTTTTGGGTGTGGGAACTGAGAATGGATTGCAATTTGCGAACGCAAGACGGCGGAAGCTGGGTTTTAGTGGGGGATGAATTAATTAGTTTGTGCCATTGAGCTTATGGATCCGACTTCCGAGTTCGAATCATTCGGGACGCAACTCGCTGTATTATTAAAATTGGTGCTCATCTGGGCAGCCCATTTACATTTGAATGGAGGACAAAGTCCTTGAGGACACCTAAGCATAGGTGAGGTCCGGTCAGGTCCATTATTGTCACCTCAACTAGGTTTTGCAATTTTTTCTTTTTATAAACCACTGATTTATCATCTTATTGAATGCCATCCGTCATCACAACTACTATCCATAACGTCCACGTGTAACCCGTCTCAACGTTTTATGTCAGAACCCATCAAAATCAGATGATCTGTCTCCACAAATTTCCCCAGAGCAAAACGAAAAATGAAAAATCTTTTAAAACCGCTGCTTCATTTTTTGTTAGTGTCCCAACATTTCGTGCGGTGAATGGTAATTGATGTATTATTTTTATTAAAAAACAAAATTCAAAATTTTTCTATAAATAAAAAAAGCAGCGTTTGATTTGATCGCTTCAAGTGTTTGCGCAAAAAAGAGCAAAGGGGAATAGTACTGCAGTGCCGGCATGGTGCAGAGTTGGGCACTTTGGTTGGCATCGAATAAAGGCCCCATCCTCCTTTCCTTCTTCGAGCTACGAATAAGATAACCGATTAACTGTTGCGTTTTCTCTGAGGGATCTGCTTTGATTTAACAACAGCACCAATGTTGGACTTCGCCAACTCACACCTATTTTACCAAACATTCAGTAACTTTTTGACCCGTACGATGCCATGCACGTTACTTATTGTTCCCACTAATTACGTTATTAAAAATATTGTTTATACGTATGCTAGGCATATATATATATATATATGAGTCATATTATGAATAAAATTATTAAATTTATGATTTCAAATGTTAAATTTAGATAATTTAAAAAAAATTATCTAATTCATTATTAATAAAATTTTTAAATTTTACAAATAGAATTAATTAATGATACGTATCTTTTTAGATGTATTAAAAATAAAACAATAATTTATTAATATCATTTATAAAATTAAAAGATTATATTAACAATATTTAATAATTTTTTATTAAAAAAATAACTTTTTGTTATTTATAATTTACCAACAAAAATAAGATTTGGATACCCGGAAAAAATGTGTTTCAACCTGTGTCTGAGTAGCCATATGCAAGCTTTTCTCCAATCCTTTGAACCAGTTACAGAAACCAGCATTGAGACGTGCAAGTGTGCAACTCAAGAGGGAAGCGCAAATTAGCACCAGCAGCCACCACATCAACCGCTAAGAACAATACATGTGTCGGCCACGCGAACCATCGACAGCCTCGACTCAGCTTTGGGCCGCAGGGCGCAATAGGAGCAGCCCCTGGTTCAAATCGTTTCACTTCCTCCAAACTCTTTGGGCAGACAATTTTTCATTGTAAGGAAAAAGGAAAGTCCACATTCCATTTCATCGTTTCTTCTTTTCCTCACTGGAAAAAGGAAAATAAGAAAAAAACACACACTGTTGATTTTCACCTCTCTCTCTAATAATTAAATTGAAGTTGTATTATTTCTCTCTCTGAATGGCATGAAAAACCCTAGCTTGACACGGCCGCCTTTGCAATTTCAATTAAGGGCAACTTAAAACGGGCGCATGTAAGTTCCTTTATTTAATTTTATTTATTTATTGAATTTCTATCTCTGGGTTGTTAATCTCTTCTAATTTCGAGGAAAAGACCAAAGGAAAATGAGAATTTGTGGAACTAGGTATAACATTTAAGATTATGTGACCTTAATTTAGTTTCGGTTTCAATTTTGTTAATGGAAAAATATGATTCTTTGATTCTTTTTTTGGTTATATGTGCATTGATTTTGAAATTGAGTTTCAAAATTTTCAGTTTCAGGGTGCGGGGGTGGGGAAATTTTTATTAGCTTCATGAAATTTTCGTGTGTTAAAGGAATATAATTGAATATAGACTGGACAAAGATTTCGATGTTGAGTTAAGTTTGGCATATAGAGGTTATTGTTATTGGGAATGGCAGAAGATAGCCTCCGTATTGGCGGGCTTTCTTCTGGCTTGGCTGTGATATTGAATAGTGAGGATGGGAAGGAAAATTTCTCCAAATCCCACCTCATATCATATTCTGATGATTTTGGTCAGCAATCTGTGGAGCGAGCTCTTGAATATGTATTTGGTCTTCCCGATAAATCACTTACTCCATTGACTGGTCCCATTGACAGCAGTCTAGCTCGTTCTATCATAAAGAACTACTTGTACTCAAGTTCAGATGCTTTGGTTAGTAAGAGGGAAGGGGTTTGTATTGTTGATAATGGCTCTGGACCCGATGTTGTTGGTCTTGAAGTATTCAGTATTTGTGGTGAAATTAGAATCATTAAGCCACCTTTGCTTTTAGAGAGCTTAGCAGTATTCAGTCGTGCCAAGGCTAATGCTTGTGTTTGGAAAGGGAAATGGATGTATGAAGTAATTTTGGAGACTTCTGGTATACAATAGCTTGGATGGGCTACCATTTCATGTCCATTCACTGACCGTAAGGGCGTAGGCAATGCTGATGATTCATATGCATTTGATGGCAGAAGAGTTAGAAAATGGAATAAGGAAGCGGAGCCATATGGTCAGTCATGGGTGGCAGGTGATGTCATTGAGTGCTGTATAGGCTTGGATCATCATGAGATTTCATTCTATAGGAATGGTGTTTCACTTGGTCTGGCATTTTCTGGCATTCGGAAAATGGGACCTGGATTTGGATATTATCCTGCAGTTTTTCTTTCTCAGGGTGAACGGTGTGAATTGAATTTTGGTGCCCGCCCTTTTAAATACCCAATTGATGGCTACCTTCCCTTCAAGCACCTCCTTCTTTTAGCTCTTTTGCAAAGCAATTGCTGGATTGCCTATCCAGGCTGTTGGATATGCAATCTGTGGAGCGAGCTGAGCATTCTTCAGTTGAAAAATTGAGGAGACTAAAGAGGTTTGTATCACTTGAAAAACTATTTTATCCTGTTTCTCATGGGATATGTGAAGAGTTCTTCACTGCAGTTGAAGCAGATTGTCGAAGTGCTGAGTACATTGGGTGGGGTCCTCTTCTGTTTTTCTTGATGGGGATATTTGGAGTACAGGCACCACATGATTGGTTGACTTTGGATAGAGTACTTGATGTCCTTCTAGAATTCCAAGGATCACATATTATGTTTGAGCTTATTATAAATGCTCTTTCATGTGGTTGCAAGACAGCATCATTGGTTCTGACAGAATGCCCATATTCAGGATCATATTCTTATCTTGCATTGGCGTGCCATTTATTAAGACGGGAACAATTGATGGTGTTGTGGTTGAAGTCATCAGATTTTGATTTCTTATTTGAAGGTTTTCTATCACGGAAGAGTCCAAACAGGCAGGACCTTCATTGCATGATTCCTTCTGTTTGGTGGCCTGGTTCTTGTGAGGATTTGTCTTCTGAAAGCAGCATGTTATTGACAACTGCAGCTTTATCTGACGCAGTTAGTAAGGTTTGCTCCTGTCACTTAGAACTGAATGTTAATGAATATTGCTTCGTTTTCCCCCTCCTTTTTTTTTCAGCTTTCTTGCTACCTTGACCCAGCTTTTGAAAAAATTGTGAAGGAAACTTGACAAATCTTAGTAGCATTGATAGTGTAAAATTATTGTCAAGTGAAGTATCTATAGTTTAAAACAATAAGTTTAGTATGAATCATAATTTACACAGTAAAATACATGCATGGCTTTGAGGTTTAGTAACTTTCATTACTGCATTGCTTATCTAAAGAATATAACTTTTACTTTCAAGTATTCCTTTCAGCATAGTTTAAGTTTTAGTTATATTTTGTATATGGTTTCAATTTGTTTACCTTCCCTTCTTTTCTGGAACTGAATGAAGTTCAGATGCCATATCAGAATTGTTCTTCCCACATATTTTGACTGCATTTATCTGCCATGAATTTCTCATTTGTGCAATACTTGCCCCAACGAACATGTATCCTTGGTTATCCTCCTGTGTTCTTGCATATAAGATGACTCTTGTGCTTAAACACTTACTGAGTTTAATGTGAAGTTATGTTTACGATGTAACCTTAAGTTTGAATGATTGTAATGATGTATGTTTTCACTCATTGGGAGGGTCATGAAAACATTTACGTTATTAGGGGCATTAATATAGGAAGAGTGCATTGGTTGTACTTGCATATGAAACTGAAAATGCATTTCTATGTGTGTAAAGACTCCATATTAGTGTTGAATTGCCCCTATAAGGGGTATTCAGCAGTGCTCTGTGGGGGCAACAGCTTAGATCTTGTCATCCTGTTGAATCAATATTTATAAATCCATAGATGCTTTTATCTTAATTTATTGATCATCTTTTTTTCTCCCTTTTCCAGATTGAGGAAAAGCATAGGGACCTCTGTCTCTTAGTCATACAGTTCATACCTCCAATATCACCTCCCCTGTTTCCTGGTTCTTTGTTCAGGACATTTCTGCGGAACCTTTTATTGAAGAATTGAGGAGCTGATCACAATAAGCCACCTCCCGGGATTTCAAGCAATTCTGTTCTTGTTTCTTTGTACACCGTTATTCTCCATTTTCTATCTGAAGGCTTTGGAACGGGGAATATTTGTGGGTGGTTGAAGAACTGTGATTCCAGTGGTCATGATATTGGTTTTCTTCATAGAGGTGGCTACCAAAGTTTCCCTGTAGGTTTGTTACTCAAGAATGATGCACATCGAGCTGACATTCCTAGGCTTGGAGGATCATTCAGTCACCTATCAAAATCTCATCCTGCTCATGATCAGGAAGCAGAAGTTATTTGGTGGCAGGAAGGCTGTATGGATGATGAAGAAACAAGAGTAACTCATTTAACCAAACAGAAACCGTGTTGTTGCTCATACTATGACATGGAGTTCACAAAGTGCTTAAAATATCCAATCACAACCACAACTAAAAGTTACCATCACCAGTGCAGCGCTATTCCTGAAAGATCTGCACTTGTTGCTGCAGAATGTAGTACAGGAAGTTTTAATGATGAGATAGTGGATAAACCTAGCTCCAGTGATCAGTCGGAATCTGAGTTTGGTTATCGTCCGGTCCAGCAATTGAGGATTGTATCTAGGGACAGTGATGTGTCTTCAACCACTCTAAGAGAGGAAGAACTCCTGGATGCTTTGCTATTATTGT